GGGGCAGCAGGTTGAGCTGCTTAACAGCTTTTTCTCCACACATAATACGTGTCAGCTCTTTTGCCAACAGTAAATAAGGTTCTTCACAAGTAGTGTGGGGCTTACCTGCTTTAGCAATCCGCAAACTTGCATTTTTCCCCCGTTTCAGTTTCAGAAGTCCGTCTGAGAAGTTAATAAAAGTTATTTCATGGGCATGGGAGCGAAACACAGGGACGCTTGGTGTATTTTTCATAAATTAACCTAGAACAGTTCTTAAATATTTTTCTGTTATCTATCACGCTTTCCTGTGGTCACGAGATTGCCAACGTTCACGGTACGCATTTCCATGGTTTCCTGTGCTTACAACATTGGCATTGTTCCAAAATCACACACATTCTCCTACCTCCCTATTTGCTGGAGATACAAATACAATTTTAAATACAATTGGTCTCTTACTTTCGTAGCATGCATTCCTATAGAATGGTATGGAATTACATTGTAGCTCTTGTGTCCACTTGTGTCCAAGTATTAACACGTGCTGTATTGTAGTACGTGGGCTGCGTGTGTGGCACGTATTAAAAAGAAAATATGAAAACCTGTCCCGATTTTTCAGTGCACACAACAAAGTTCCAGGGTCATATGGCATACCAGCTGGTGGCGATCCACAAGTGGTACGCATACCATAGTTTGAGAACCACTTTTATAGAGATATTAAATGAATGTGAACTCTTAATGAATATATAGAATGAATATCCTAAATGAAGACTTCCCACACATAAAAAGGGATTTGAACTCAGATTATTTGATATTTAACAAATCACCACATATTCTTGTGTGCAAAAGTAAATGAAATTTCAGTCAGTAACTTGTGGCACCTCCTTTAGAAGCAATAACTTCACGCAGTCATCTCCTATAACCTCTGACATCTTGCTTGAGGGATTTTTTCTCACTCCTCTTGACAACACTCCCCCAGCTCTGTAAGGTTTGAAGGATTTCTTGCATGAACAGCCTTGCTTGAACTCTTGAGGTCCTGCCACAGCACTTCAGTAAGATTCAGGTCAGGGTTGGCCATTCCGGAACACAGAACCTCTGCTTCCTAAGCCATTCTTTAGTGGACTTGAATGTTTAGGATCGTTGTCTTGTTGAAACATCCACTTTGTGCCCAGCTTGAGTTTTTGAACTGATGGCCTGACATTCTTCTCAAGAATTCCTTGATATTTCTCAGAATTCAATATTGCCTCAATGATGTCAAGTTGCCCAGGGCCAGAGTAAGAAAAACAGGCCCCACTAATACCTCTTCCAGCAGCAACCT